GCAGAGGGAGGCCACGAGCGGTGGTGGCGGCAGGGCGATGGGGGGTGGGGCGAGTCAGTAAGCGGGTCGCTTCTCACAGGGGGAGGCTAGACTGGGGAGTGGGCCTAAGCTGTCAGTCAGATATCCCATGAGGGCTCCTGGTCTGCAAGAGGGTACAGGCTTGGCTGGGGGACCCCCCCCCCCCCCGAGTGCACGAATTTTTGTGCATTCGGGCCTCTACAATTTGCATAATAGGCTTTTACATACATATAGATTTTTTTTAAATTTAATTTTAGAGAGGAAGGGAGAGGGGGAGAGAGAGATAGAAACATCAATGATGAGAGAGAATCATTGATCGGCTGCCTGCTGCACACCTTCACTGTATCCCAGGCATGTGCCCTTGACCAGAATTGAACCCGGGATCCTTCAGTCTGAGGCCAGTTCTCTACCACTGAGCAAAACTAGATAGGGCTGTTTTTTAGGATATTTTTGTCTTTTTATAGTGAAAAAATTTTTAATATACCTAAAATTGGTGTTCCACCTACATTTAGTGGCATATGGATGCCAAAAGTTTTCTCACATTTAAGGTGTGGGTAATAGGGAGTAAGAGAAAATCAGGAGTAGATTCCCTAACCTGAAGCTAGATCGGTGCTATCAAATACTGAAGCATGGTTAAATAAGGTAGGAACTGAAAAGCAATCATTTGATTTGGTAGCACTTAGTATTATTATTCTTGAAGGATCTAGTTAAGAAATACCACAAATTGCAGGTTCAGACTATGAGTAGGAGCAGAGTTTATAGAATAAGTTTTCAAGAAGCTTGCCTTTGAAGGAGCAGTAGTTGTTTTGTTGTTTTTTGGTTTAATGCACTTGCTTATTTATATACCATAAATAACTAGAACTAGTGAGGCTCGAAGCAAATGCACATGCAAGACTAGTACCATCTTCCAAATTTCCTTAGTTTTCTCTTTTTGTGTAGCTTGCTGTAAAGTGTGTGCTATGAAGATAATCTCCTTTTGCTTAGAGGTATAATGGGTACAATATTATTTTTCTAACCTCCACTTTTGATTTTTTTTTTTACAAAGTGGCAGTTAATTATTTCAATTTATGTCTTTTATAAAATGCCAATTAAATACTATATTTTGGAGTTGCAGTTTAAAGTCTTGATAGCTGGCTTAATCAACATATTTGTACTAGATGCCCAGTGCACAAATTCGTGCATGGGTGGGGTTCCTCAGGATGGCCTGCAGAGATCAGGCCCCAGCTTGCACCCCTCGCCCTGCAGCCCCACCTGGCACCCTGCCTTGGCCTGGCGCTGTCCCCTCACCTCCTCCACCATCCCACCTGCAGAGCGATCAGTCAGTGTCAGGCCCCCTGCCTGGCTCTCTCAGCACCTGGGAGCCAGGCGGCGGCCCTGCTCATGCTGCTGGAAGCTGTCTGCAGGGTGATTGGCAGGACGATCAGGCCCCTGCTTGCACCCGCTTTGGCCTGGCGCTACTTGCTCACCTGTTTCACCATCCTGCTGGGGTCACGCTCTTGTCAGGGCCCATTGGGGCCAGCAGTGCCTCCACTGCCGCCTGCTGCCAGTGCCACATTGCTGGTGCCTGCCATGTTCTGCGGTGCCCCCTGGTGGTCAGCACACGTCATAGTGAGTGGTCGAATGACCACCCAAGGGGACAATTTGCTTATTAGGCTTTTATTATATAGGCTGCTTGGTGAGTTGGGCACTGATTAGATGAATTCACTGTCAGTGTAATTTATTTGAACATTACTGACAGATACTCGAAGAGTACAGATTATATAACTGCTTTTATAGGAAGTGATATGAGTGCATTTTATATATTATATAGAACTTAAGTTTTTATTCTAAGTAAATATGTGATAATATCAAGGTCATTGGATGCTGCAGACAACATAATCTCCATTGTGTCTCTCTTTAAAAGGTGGGCAGTGGAAATGTGTACATTTAATATTATAGCTTTCTTAACCTTCACTTTTATGTAAATGAAACAGGAACATATTCAAGGCCAGTGATTTGGTGTTCCAAGTTTTCTCATTAGATATGGAGCATGCCTATTATGATTTAATTGCAAATTTCTTTACATTCCAGGCCCTATAGAGTGACCTAGTTGGATTTTTGGTTAAAAATAAAACACATATTATACAGAGGGGAGATATCAAAGAAAGAGAGACTTAAAGGAGCAGAAGGTTGAAAATAATGAAAACAGAATTGCTGAGTGCTCTGGAGTGAAAGGGAGGAGATGAGGTAGAGAGAGCACAGGTAGATGGATGACTCCAGATGAGCCTTGTTTAAGAGGAGGGACATCTAGGGGAAGAGAATGGATGGATACAAAATCAAATATACTTTTCCTGTTAAGAAACAGCCCAACCCATCTGAAGCAATTTTAGGGTTATTTAAAAGATTAGATTCCTTGATTCTTACTTGAGATGAACATAAGTATTTTTACATAGTCCATTTAAGTGGTAAATTGAATTTTTTCTAGTTTCTCAATGACAAGTTTAGTAACAATGAGAATCTAACTCTGGTACCTTTTCATTGATTTTTCTCATTTTAATTTTTTAAAAGTATTTGTTTATTGAGTTTTATTCATTAGGTGCTTCTTAACTTTCTGATAAACTTCTTTAAAATATATTGGTTTAAGTGGCTTTTAATTTTAAAGTTGATAAATAATTAGAGACTTAAGTTTATCTATTCCAACTTTCACCAGGAAAGCTGTGCTTCAGTGATTTGTCTGAAGTCATTTAGCCTCTTGGTAGCAGAGGTAAGACAGGAACATTGATTTCATGATTGTTAGGGCAAAGCTCTTTTCCTTATGCCAACTGTCTTGCTTTTCTAATTTAGTACCTTGGTGTCTGATTTCAGCACCCACACTTTTGTGTGTCCTTGTGGCCCAAGCACATCTTACAAGAACTTCAAACTAGACTTATTGGTTTCCTTAATATGCATTCAACAAATTCTCTCAGGTGTCTTCCTTACTGTGTGGCAGTCACTATTTTAGACCTGGGGGATCAACAAATTCTCAGGCCTCAAGAATGAGGGAACCAGAAAATAGACACTTAAATAATATTAACAGAGTTTCAGATAGTTATAAATGCTATCATGAAAAGAAACAGAAATAAAATGTGGTAACAATAGTCAGAAAAGGTTTCACTGAGGAAGGGACATTTGAGCTGAGACCTGAGTGAGAAGAGCCAGCTATGGGTTAGAGCACTCCAGGCAGAGGCCCTAAGCTTGAGCAAGCTTGACATGGTTCATGAATGGAAAGAAGGTGAACACAGGGGAAAGTGGGAGGAGAAGAGGTCAGAAAGGAGAAGACAGTTCAGTAGGGCTGTCTAGACCATGACAGTGGGAATTTAGAGATGGGATTGTATTAAGTGAAATGGAATGGTATTGGAGCAGGGGAGTGGCTGACCTGAATGATGTGTTTAAAAGATCACACTGTGTGATGCTGAGTAGAGTATAGGGTGCAACTAGTGAAGGTGATTGAGGAGTGGTTGGATTTAGAATTTATTTTGGAGGGTCTGTTGGACTTGTTGATGGACTTAATGTGTGGGTGGGAGGTTTGGGGAGGATGGTGAGAAAAAGAGGAAGGTGGTAGTAGACTGGGGGAAGAGCCTGTTTTAAGGGAGGAAGTCAGATGATTTGTCTGGGACTTGTTAAATCTGAGATTTCTACAGATTCCAAGGAGGCACTTGGGTATTCATAGCTAGTGTTGACAAGAAGGTATCAGACCTGGAAATGTAGATTTGGGAAGCATCAGCATTAACATCATATACTGAAGGAGTTTGCTTGGGAAAGGAAGAGAAGGTGGTTCACAACAGAGCCCTGAAGCATTGTAAGATTTAGAGGTGAGGAGGAAGAGAAGTCAGGAGAGAGAGCCAGTGATGTAGGAGGAAAGCCAGAGTTGTGGAAGCCAAGAAAAGAGGACACTTTAAGGATGGATGTTAGTATTAACTTATTTTTTTTAACTTATTTTAAATTAGAGGCCCGGTGCATGAGATTCGTGCACTCAGGGCTAGAGGTGGGGTCCCTCAGCCTGGCCTGCACCCTCTCGCAGTCTGGGAGCCCTCCAGGGGTGTCTGACTGACAGCTTAGGCCTGCTCCCTGCAAAGCCCTCAGTTGGACATCCTTAGCACTGCCACACAGGCGGGAGAGGCTCCTGCCACCACCAATGTGCTCGCCAGCCATGAGCTGTGAGCCTAGCTTCTGGCTGAGCGGCACTTCCCTTGTGGGAGCACACTGACCACCAGGGAGCAGCTCCTGCGTTGAGCGTCTGCCCCCAGGTGGTCAGTGCAGGTCAACCTGTCATTTCCGCTGTTCAGTCTATTTTCATATTACCCTTTTATTTATAGGATAGTGCTGCCGGATCAGGTAGGAGGACAGAGAAATGACTGTTGGTCTTGGCAATAGGCAAAACAGTTTCAGTGTCATCATGGAGTTAGAAGCTGATTGGAAAGAGTTGAAGAATGAATGGAAGATGAGAAATTAGAGAATGCCTGGAGATAATTGCTTTCAAGAAGTTTTGCTGTGAAAGGGACTCTAAAGATGGAATGATACCACAAGGGAGGAGGTGGAGTCAAAGGAGATTTTCTTTTTGTGCTTTTTTAAAAATGGGAAATACCAAAGCTTGTTCATGTGCTGATGGGAATGATTTACTAGAAAGGAATATTACTGATGATATAAGAAAGAAGGATTAATTGTAGAGTCAAGTTCTTGAGTTGGTGCTGGTGGGATGGGATGGACAGCACTCGTTGGAGGATTGCCCCTTTCTAATAACAGGGATACAGTGATGTAATATGACCTCACACGCCCCTTTAAACACAGCTCCTCCCTCGGTATCACCAAACCCCTTTACAAGTTAATCTTTTTTTCCTAATCACTAATTTTTTTTTATCCTGTGCCACATCTTTTATGTTCTTTTGGATGAATTAATCCTGTATAAGGTTTAGCATGAAGCAGCTGGTGATATTTAACACCAGTTTCAATTTTTATGCCAACAGGTGAAGCAAAAAATTTATTGCCTTATCTTGGACCCAACAAAATGAGAGATTGTTTCTGCACCATAAATTTGGATCAGGAAGAAGTTTATCGTACTCAAGTTGTTGAAAAATCTTTAAGGTTTGTATAAAATTGGTAAATTATAATTCATATATATTTATTAATAAATTGTATACACTTTTCAGACTTCATCAAAAAGACTTTCTTCATATGAAACTTTTATTTTTCTTTTACCTTCTGAGTTTAATTTTGGAATTACAGAGTCTCAGACTTTGAAGGAGCCTTAATAGGCATTGAGCTCGACTGCCTTATGCTTGTTTCCTTCTGACAGTTATCTCTGACAGGTGGTCCCTGGCATTTGCTTGATGATGTACCAGTGCCCAAGGAGTTCACTGCCTCCTAATCAGCCTGTCTGGTCTTGGAAATATTTTGACTCTTAGAGAGCTATTATTTTTAGTCGATTAATGTCTAATAAAAGAATTTACTATGTGCTAAAAAAGTGCTGGGAGCTATGTATTAATATATCCATGAGAACAAGTTAGACACAGTGCTTACTTGCTTTCGTGTGGCTTTTCATTGCTTCAAAGTATATCTTCCTCTTAATTGTTCTTAATTATGTCCCTTGGATTACAGGAAAACAAGTTTCACATGACACTCTCAAGTTTTTTAAAACAACTGTCATATACCTCAGTTTACTCTCTAGGCTGAATTTTGTCTATTCATTTGAACTTTTCTCAAACTACATCATTATTTTATTTCTCTTAAAAATAAATAAATTCTTACAGTTTATACAAGCCACTTATCTTTGAAAATGCAATAGCACTTTAAGAATATCATAGTAAATTCTAACTCATAAAATTGAAGTTGCCACCTCTGCCCTGTGGCAGTGTTTGTGGACAGTGCAGTGCAGAGCAGAGCTGGAAGGGTGCAGCCTTGTTCAGAGAGCAGAGTCAAAACAAGGGTCCTGTGGGAGTTGTTGGAATGAACATGTGGTGGATGAAATATTGAGTATCATGACAGGTAAATTGTATCTCACGTATATATTACTCAGTTTTATATATTTTTCTTTTATACTTGCCCTCTTTTTCTCTGAAGTTTTCCCCATTATGTCTTTATTGTCAATATTTATAATTTTGAATGTCTATTAAATTCTTCATAAGAAAGACATTGTATAAAGCTGAAAATACTTTAGCAACTCAAAAAGATTTGAAATAATACATTTCATATCTTTAGTTATAAATCACCTGTCTGTTATATTAGAATTGTTGTTATTTATATGTTATAAATGATGAAACTAAGTCACCAAAAGGCTGAATAATTTGTGCATATAATAAAGGAAGTTAGAAGCAAAACTAAGATTGGGACCTGAAACTATTAAAATCTCAATTTGTTACTTAATGTATACTGATTCCATGTCACACAAAAAATCAGTGATATACAAAACTAGTAATTGTTCATAAATTGAATATTTGTGGTAATTTCTAATATGTAACCTTGTAAATGAGCAACTACAATTAGCTTACTTTTTTTAACCCTGGCCTTTCCATGTATTTGTGTAGAGGAAATTGAAATGATAAAACAATTATTTTTGTCCTTCTTAAGTTATTTTTCTAGATACATAGCAACTTGGATGATATTTTAAAGTTCGCGGTGGTTATCTTAGGTCATTCAATACAGATTATGTACTAGTTAGACTAAGTACTTTTTCAATTCTAGGTGTCCCCTAGCATTTTTGCTTGTGGAATAGTGTGAAAGAATCTAAACACTTGTTCACATGGTGCTCATTTCAGTGTTTTTTTTATCCTTTTGCATATTGTGATAAGCTGTTAAGTTAAAAATCAGTAGATGCCACTTAGATCTTTTGTGGGTTCTGGATATTACAGTTTTTATAGGTAGTCTGTATATAGCGTTTTCATGACAGGTAAGTGGGAATTACATCTGGAATCTATAGCTCCTAAATCTTTACCTCACTCAAATCCATATATATCGGAGAGGAAGGGAGAGAGAGGGAGAGAGTGATAGAAACATCAGTGATGACCGAGAATCATTGATCGGCTGTCTCCTACATGCCCCCTACTGGGGATCAAACCTGAAACCTAGGAATGTACCCCTGACCGGAATTGAACCCGGGACCTTTCAGTCCGCAGGCTGACGCTCTATCCACTGAGCAAAACCAGCGAGGGCCAAATCCTTTTTAAAAGTAGGTGATATAGAAACAAGCTGAGGGCTGGCAGTACTACTTGTGCCTGGGGCTCCTCTTCTCCACACCAGGAATTTCCTTAGGAGTCATATGCATGATCTAGTCATTGCTTCTTAACGAACCTTGTTGAAAAGTTTTCTTCAAATGGATTGATTAATTAATTTATTTATAAAATAAAGGTGTGGCCAACCAAATACAGGTTTTGTTGAGATTGGGATGATACAGTGACACAGAGTACTTGGTAAATAAGTCTCATGTTGTTATTATTAGGCTTTAGAATGTGTTTTATAATATTCAAGTGTGGATGTATGATATATAAAAGAAAGTCTACATTTTATAATTGTTTGTAAAATGATACAAAGGAAACAAATATCTGAACATGCCATGCCTTTGCCTAATAGTTGTTATCATATCAATTTCTATGTTGAGACTAATTAGAAGACAATTATTATGACAGTCCAACTTTTAAGAATTTGGTTACAGTTGTTGTGAAACAAGTATTGACAAAAGTTGATGAGGCATTATAACAACTGAAAAGCTGAGTCAACTGTTTTCTGGACAAATTTGGAAATGACTTCTCAAAGAGCATTTTACTTTGCATTTCAGCTTCTCTTTAAGTTGTGACATCCTAAAGAAAGTGCATTTAATGATGACATTTTCAAAGTATTTTTGAACTAAACATTCTCAGGAAAGAGGAATGCTTGACAAGATGTCCACTAGCATTTCAGAGATTTGTCTTCACAGAATAATTTAAATATCAAAATAGCATTCTTCAAATGCACTTGTAAAAATAAACTATTGCATAGGAAAAACTCTTAGAAACTTGGGGGTAGGCAAAGATATTTACTTAGGATGCAAAAAATACTCATCATAAAAGAGAAAAATTGATAAACTGGATTTCATAAAAAACTCAGCCTTTTGCTCTTCAACAGATACTATTAAGAAAATGAAATTGCAAGCCCCAACTGGGAGAAAATATTCTGACAAAGGACTTGTATCCAGAATTTACTTTTTAAATAAAGGACAACCCATTAAAAAAAAAAAGAAAGAAAACCCAAATAGATTATTTCCCAAAAGAAGATAGACAGTGGCCAACAAACACATGAAAAAATATTCAACATCATTAGTTATCAGGGAAATGCTATTTTTAAACTGTTTCTGTCACTATAGATTCTTGAACATAATGTGTCAATATAAAAATTAGATCACTAGTTCCTGTGACAGTGTGGAGGGGAACTTTTGGGGAGATAGAAATGGTCTATATCTAGATTTGGGTAGAGATTACACAGGTGTATAAATTTATCATGTCACATTCACTAGAATAGCTAATTTTAAAAAGACTTTCAGTTGACAATGATATGGAGCAACCAGAAGCTCTCACACATTTCTGGTAGGAATGTAAAAAAGGGTTGGAAAACAGTTTGACCATTTTTTATAAATTAAAATTTCACCTACCCTTTAACCCAGCAATTCCATTTTTGAAAGCATATATCCAAGAAAAGCCTTGTATAAAAATATTAACAGCAGCTTAATTTTTCATAGCCCAAACTGGAAATAACTCAAATGATATCACTAGGAGAATGGATTGTGGGGTACTCATAAATGAAATATTACTCAGCAAATGAACTGCTGATATACACAGAAAATGGAAAAAAATCTTGTAGACGTTAGCTGAGTGAAAGAAGCTGGATGCAAGAGTACATACTATTTGCCCTGACCAGTTTGGCTCAGTGGATGGAGCGTCGGCCTGCAGACCCAAGGGTCCCAGGTTTGGTTCTGGTCAAGGGCATGTACCTTGGTTGCGGGCACATACCCAGTGGGCTGTGTGCAGGAGGCAGCTGATCGATGTTTCTCTCTCATCAATGTTTCTAACTCTC